GAAAGTGCGGGACAAAATGTGGGACACACACACAAACACACACAGACAACCCCGTGACAATATGCGCTTTGTAACGTTGTTACACAGCACAAAACGCATAACAAAACTAAAATAAGCAGAAGGCTAACAGAAGGAAATGTAGAAAATAATTTTAGACTCTGTGTTAGTGACATAAATCCAGATTTCAAAAATCTCATGTCAAAGCTCAGGCTCACATTAACCCGCTGTTGTTTTTTTTACTGAATGAACAACCTGGTAAAAACTTATCTGTTTTTATGCGTTTTTGCATCTTATGCAAAAGCAAAACTAATGAGCAGTAGAGTTAATGGAAAGTAGTTCCATTAGGTTTTTATTTATTTATTTTTTTTGGTTTGGTTTTTATTTATTGTTGTTTTATCTATTTAGTTTATTTAGAATAAAATTTTGAAAAAAGAAAGGATGGTTTTAGATGAATTTTTACAATTTTTAGAGTTGATAGACTCATTTCCAAAATAGGCGGGAAAGGCAAATTAAACAACTGTTTTATCTGATTTCTGTCAATTATTTGCAGTTTGGGTAAAACACCGGTAACAATGCCATTGAGGATAACAGCAAATATAATCCGTGATGTTTATGCGAGTGATGTGCAATGGAGAGAAGCATTCCAGAAGCATATACCCTATTTCGATGTTGTGGCCACCGATGTGTACCGCAGTCACGAGAATGACAAAAATAACCTCCAGGTATTTTTTTAGCAAAATTCTCGTTTACGTTTTATGAAAGCAGTATTGTGCAAACGCAGGAAATCCTTTGAAAAGGCGTGAAAAGCCTTTTGTTTAGAATCAGGCTCGAGTTTGAATGCTCCTACATAAAACTGTACTTATCTGAAGTACCTGGTGTTGTTAAACGAGAACAGTATTTATTAAAAATCAAACAAAACAAAAGGCAGTACAGGCCTAAAAGGCCCTGTGAAGAAAACAGTAAGAAGGAGCCGAAACAGCGGCCCAATCAGCGAAGGGTATTAGACGACAGGGGCCGCGCCAATCGTGCATGCAATAGGAATATGCAGGGGTGGGACGGTATTCGCCCAAAATTCGAGGAGGTAATGAGAGAAGGAAAATGAAAAAGTCAGGTTGTTGTGACGCATATTTTTTTGAAAAAACAGGGTGGAATTTAAAAGAAGTCATGTAAAGAGCAATGTGTAAAAAAGCCTGCCTGTGTTTCATCCCCAAGCTGTAAACACAGACAGCAGAATGCGTGGTTAGGGGTGGGAATCATCAGTACAGCCCCCTAACCACCATGTTCAACCACTTCCAGTT